ATGGTAAAATGGTTCAGTATGACTGGGCAGGAGATACATAATTTACACCATCTTAACTGTTTTCACACAGCTGAAAGTGTCTTCAGTAATCACATTTGAATCGTAGAAACTTATAGCACAGAAGAAGACCATTCAACCCATCATGTCTATGCCTGCTTTTTTAAGACCAATCCTTTCAGTCCTATTTACCTCCCCTTTCCCACACCCCTGTAGTTTACTCCTTTTAAGATATCCGTCTGGTCCCGTTTTGAAAGCTATTATGGATTCTGCCTCAACCAATGCTCTCTAGCTGGGCATTTTATACCTTAACAACTCTGTGTGTGGAAAAAAAACCACACCTACTTATTTTCTCATTTGCTAGCTATCTTAAATTGATGTCTGTTAGTTACTGTAGCGAATTGTTCATTTTCCAAAATTTACAAAAAATTAAATTAATTTAGATCACATCATCCATAGTTTTCTGGGTTGTTGAACCTGTCAAATAGCTGAAAATATTAAAATGTTATGTTCCAGTTTTATTAGCCATTAAACATTCTCAGAGAGGAGGTCATAATTCCATTTACAGCATCATTAAAATTGTTAGCTGATGGCCACCAGTGATAAAGCGCTACTTGCAAATAACAAGGATGCATGTACTATAGTTTAAGAGGGATGCACGTATTACAGTTTAAGAGATTGGAGTCATGGTACATTGTAGGTCAGACACAGTAGCTTATCTTTATCGAAAGGCTTCTCTGCCTTTTAGGAAATAAATATGCTTAAAGCTTCCAATTGGAGGTCAAAGCAAACAGTTATTGTTCTTGGACTTTGTCCATGGTGAAATGAAAAAGTAAAGAGTAAAATCTATTGCCTAGGCTCTGGGTATTATTGTTGTTTTTGTAAATTATAGCAATTTTAGAAAAGATTTCAATTTTTTTAAAAAAGGAACAGTTTCTTTAATATTTAATCCCCACCCCCCAATTCTTCTGTTGGAGTGCCTTCAACATCATCCATCTTTCTCTGGAGTTGAGAGCAATGTAGTCTGGCCTGACATCTCCTTGGTTGCCACCGATTCCATTCATTGATAATTAACTTCAGCTTTGCAGATGAAGCGTATTGATTGAGGAAGCTGGACTGAAGGGTCCTCACCTCATAACCATCATGAGGGAGAACCCTGACTTACTTTTCCTATAACTATCATCCACTCCGCTGAGACCAACCATAGCGCCACATTGATATCATGAGTAAAACATGGATGTGGATCAGTAAGTGACTGAAAGGAAAGAAATAGAAAGTTGTATTGAAGAAAGCTTGGTTGAAATGTGAGAGGCAGTTAACCGGGTGCTTTTAAGCACTCTGAGACGCTATCCTGTGTGGAGGGCGCCATGTCATTGCAAGTTGTTGTTGTTGTTAAGAGTGGGGTTACTATTCGTAGTGTGCATAAATGGTCTGGATTTTCAAACTCTGCCTAGGGAATACTCTTACATTTGCAAATCACAAAAGAAGGTTTGCCAATCTCTTTTTCATCAATCTGCTGGCATCTAAGTATAAAATTCTTAGTTTGGGTACCTTACATGGAAATATATTAAAAAATCTTAAATTCATTATCTACCAAATAATCATATCTTCTGAGTTATTAAAGATCAGTTCTGTTGAAGGATTATGCCTACAGTATTCCATTAATAAGAACTGTCTCATGAGTCTATGTCTAAATGTTTCTGTATTTCTCCTTTTTGTTCCCTCTCAGACCATAAGAACAGAAAATACTGTAATAAGTAGGTATGTAAACATAATAATAATCCTTACATTTGGTGTAATGCCTTTCATGTCAGGAGGATGCCTTAAATCCCTGTGCAGGGTATTCTATAAAGAGGAGTAACTGATTTTTTTGTGGATGAACACAGCAGTCAATTTTGCACACCATAATGTCCCACAAACAGCCATGAAGTGATTGACCAATTTTATTAGGGCAGGACATTGGGAGAAACTCTATCTTGGCCAGGACATTGGGAGAAACTCCCTTCAAAAATATACATTGAGGTTTAAGGAGGTATGATAGTGGAGCCATGATAAAACCAGGAATGATCAGAGCTCTTAAAGTCACCATGAAAACAGCCTGGGAATCATTGCAAGAGGTATAGCGTGCGGGTGAGCGTAAGAATAAATGCGGGAGATAATTCAAAAATTTTAGTTTTGAAAAATTTCCAAATGTGGAACTGTGCCTTAATAATCTCAATATAAATAGTTTTTGACCATGTCACTTGAGTTAGCTGTCTTGTTAGTAAATGGAAACAGTTGTAACAAATGGTTGTTCTAAATCTGCAGTGACCTTCTGAGTAGAATTCAATGTATTGATTTCTTCTGGCTTCTTCTTTAATGAGTTTGTGTAACCTTGGTCCTAGTGATTTACAAATAGATTGAAGGATACAAATTTATAGGCAGCATTTGGTGAAATGTGTTCCTGCTCCAAATTGTAGTACCATGGACTTGTGGGCTACAGACTCGTGTCCAGAATTCATCATCTCAGTCATAATATCGGAGCAAGTGACTCTACACACTGTACAAGAGAAACAAAAAGAGTTAAAGTCAGAGTTTGTCCCCCTGGTTTGTCCTCGCAATTTCTTTAAGATTAGCAACTAGCTAAAGAGCAGATATGAGGGCAGATTAGCCTCACTGCCATTTTGTCTGTTGGGAGGCGCACAATGCCAGTAGATTAGAGAAAATAAACTACTTCATCCACAAGTATATACAATGTTCCTGGATAAGGTTTGAATGTATCAGGCTAAGCATCTAGGGTACATTAACTGAAGCCAGGTCTAATATAGAGCACTTATATTTATACCAATTTATATTATTTATACTATACTATTTATACTATTTAGAGGACTTATACTTATACTCATATAAAGCACTTATATATCATCCATCTCAGATGTCACGTTTTAATGAAGCACAAAAAATGTCTGCCTTCCATCATCAGATTGTTGCTGATGCCACTTGCTCTGCATTATTCTAGTGCCGCTGACTTCACTTCCTGCACAATGTTCATATATTTTATGTGTAAGAACAGATGTCACTTCCTTTGCGACGTACCATTAGGGGTGCTTCCTGCATATGACGCAAATGCACTTCCGCAGGACATCAGTGGCAACCTTTTTTGGGCTGGCTAGTAAGCACTGGGAATCAGATATACCGAGTTCCAATATTGCATGGATAAATAGTAGACTCTTGCTTTAATTGAACCCATGCCCAGCCAGGACTTATTCTAATGGGGCCTCCCTGTAGATTATTCCACTGAGTATTCATAATTCAATGTACTCAGGTGATGATTCATAGGGTTTGAATGTGTGTGAGCAATCAGGATTATGAACGAACTGACATTTTCCCAATATACTAACCTCGACAATGTCATTAATGGGAGTCAATAATCAGTGTCCCAAATGTTCTCATGATCATAGCCTTAAAATCATTGTCTTCAAATTTAAGATCATCCAAAATATTGGAAATGCCTTAAATTTAGCCTAAACTTGGAATCCAGTTTTCCATACGTTTTAAAGAACTGAATGTAACACTTTTTCTAAAATTCTGCACTATCTTACATTTTAAGGCAAATATCTTAAAGCTAAGGCCTTGACAATCCCTGGGACTCCAGAGATTTCTCAAAGGGAAGGAGGTATATTCACAGGAAACAATTTTTCAGGAGGACAGGTGCAGAGTGTCACAGGCCATGACAACAAGATATTTTGCTGACCTTTTGATCAGGAATGTTCTTGCTTTTGCTTTTACACCTTGCTGCTAGCGAGAAACATAATAATAACAGATGCCATACAATGATTCCTGGGAATGCTTGGAGAACCTGTACTGGAGTAAAAGTGTCACAGATTCCCAACTGCTTACAGTAATGTTGGATTAGCAGATTATGTTAAACCTGCATTTGAATTGCTATGGAAAAGAAAAGAAATATAGGATAATGCTATTTAGCTGGAAGGAAGTCCCACATCAGAAAGTGGAACTGACAGTCTAGGCTGACACTACAATGCAGTGCTGAGGTGAGCTGGATTGTTGGAGGTGCTGTCTTTCAGATGAGAAATGAAATCAAGATCCCGTCTGCCTGGTCAGGTGAAAATTAAAGATGCCATGGCACTATTTGAAAAGGGAATGGAGTTTCTCCTGGTATCCTGGCTAACAATCCACCAAATAAAAAATTGGTCATTCCCTCCATGGCTGTTTGTGGGACACTATTGGGCGCCAACTGGCTGCTGCTTTTCACCCACAAACTACACAGTCAATTTACTTTACAGTATACCCTGCAAAGCACTATGAGATGCCTCGATGGTGTGATAAGGCATTATATCAAATGCAAGGATTATTGAAGTGTTTACATTTTGGTGCTTTCACTTCAGCAGGCCAGTGACCCACTCCCAACATCTCCAAGAGATATATGGGAGCAGGCCAGGCTGACATGACCTCTGTATTTCCCTCTGACGAAGCACCTGACATCAGTTTTATGCCTTTCCTCTTCATTTATGGCTAGCTCTAGATAGCTGTCATGTAGGGTATAATACTTCAAATAGTACCCCCCACCTCCACCACCAAAACCAGCAAAAAAAAACCTTAATGGCACAATGTCACCTTTATATTATAATTTAAACCTTAACTTTCAAATATTGGCACAAAGATAACTAGAGCATTTCCGAAGGAAGTGAAACTGGCAGTTAAACATGCTGCTTTCTCAGCTCAGTTGCTCTCAAGGTTATAACCTAAATTTAATATAACTCCCATGATTGTAAAATATGACATCACCTCAGTTGGCAGCAGGAGGGAGTCCTTGGTACCAAGGTACAGATGTCTCCTTCATTGCAGTGTACGTGGTGATCAACAATACATACTCTATTAATCTCACAGAGATAAAGCATTCTACGTTCCTGCCATTCAGACAAATCAGGTAACCAATGAACATAAAAAAGTCATTAGAATGAATCAGCCACGCCTGGCTCGGTTTCAAATGAAAGTCGAGTGCAACTGAAGTTCAAGGGACTGTTAGAGCTGAGGGTCAGGCTGAGCCTATAAAAGCCCAGTTCAGTGACTGTGCAGGCAGATAAGATTCAGAAGGCTGCAGACAGTTAAAATGGCTTGTGTATCCCAATCAGTGAGTTTTCATAAATGCCACTGCGGACAAAGACCACACACTGGTATACTTTACAGCATTCTCAACCAAGATCACCAAGGTGAATCAAACCGATGTCACTCCCTGCATTACCAGCCCATCTCAGCTCTTGGTTGCTCTTGTGAGGTTCGAAGAAAAGTTGTTCTCAGAACTCCAGAACGCACTTGTAGACTGTCCTCCGAGGTCCTGCTGAAGACGCTGAACTTCATTAAAAACCTCCCCTCCTTTTGTCAGTTGCCTGAGGGGGATCAAGTGCTGCTGGTGCAGAATAGCTGGGCTCCACTCTTTGTGTTGGGTTTGGCTCAGGAAGGAGTGGACTTTGAGGTGACTGAAGCTAATGTTCCCAGCTTATTGCGCAGAATTCTCCTGAATCAGAAAGTGGTTGATGGACAGATCCAGGAGACAGCCATGAATGCCCCAAGCTTGGCAGAAGTTCAGAGAGTGAAGATGTTTCTCGCAAAGTTCTGGAGCATGGACATCAGCACGAAAGAATATGCATATCTTAAGGGTATTACCCTTTTCAATCCAGGTAAGACAAATGCAATAAGTGAAACATCTTTTTAACTATACATGTAAGACGAATGACATCTTAAACTTTTAAACATTCGTACGACTCTTTCAAAATAATTCCTTCTTTTATTGTTGTGCATCCTCCATTCAGAGAATATGCTCCAGGCAACCCATAGAAGGTGCTGTGTTGTAGATAGATCACTCAGAGCAATTTGTCTTCCATAACAGAGTAATAATAATAATAATCCTTGCATTTGATATAGCGCTTTTTTACGTCTTCTAGGCTTCTCAAAGTGCTTCACAGAATAGACTGTACAACTGATGGCCCAGCACCTTGAGCTTGGCGCCCTATACTTTGTGGATTCTTGTCAAACTTTTTGGGTCTTGTCTCATCTTAAAAAGGCCCAAAAGCAAACCTTTGGCCATTTTCATCCTTTTGGATTCAAATGTCAGCATTTTTTATTTTGAAAAGAAGTTTCATAATCTGATGTTCGTGAATTGAAAGTTCCAGTTAATGAGATGAATGTGATTTGTAAATATTGAATTTCAGAACCAATATTACCTCCATCTGTACACATGGATGGAGTTTCTTCCCCTTACCCACTCCTGGGTTATGACTGCCGATTTGTGGGATTGCAACTATTTTGAAAAACAAAATACTTAGAGTAACAGGCAGAAGTTGAATGTATGACCTTGCTTCACAGATATCAGTTCGGGGGTTGGGCAGTTCATCTCTGCCATATCCCAGCGACTCATATTTTGTATTTTCAGAATTTCTAAATTGAAATCAAATGTTGGACCCCAATATATAGACATTTTTTAACCTATGATTTTCAATCATAGAAGCCAACTTGAACATGACAGTGACTGAACCATTTTACAGTTATCAGATGCAATATCAATGATTTAAGAATGTGCAGCATAGTGGCACTGTGGGACACTACCCCGTGTGAAGGGCGCTCTATAAATGCAAGTTGTTGTTGTTGTTGGTGCACTATGGAATTAATGCAGCACCACCACTCGACTCCATACAAGTGGAGAAAACAGGCTTTATTTCCCTCCTCTCCTCTTGGCTTCTTATGCTGATGAGTTTCTGATCTCAGGTCTGCCAGTAAAGAGAAGGGTTGAGATGAGACCCTCTGCCCCTCCGTTAGGTGGGGAGAAGAAAAACAGAGTAATCCTAGGCTAGTGTTGCATAACTTCTATGGTCCTCCTCTTATCCTGGCTTCTGTACCTGATATCCACACACGCATACTAGCAATAATTCCTTTTCATCCCGGGGTGTTGAAGAGCCCTAACTGTTGCGCATATCAGGATCAACTTAACATTGACTGTGATTCAAACCTGACACCTTCTGCTCTGTATGCCTCAACAATGCTATACCAGATAATAACTTCACTGGTTAAGCCACTGGGAGAGCCAAAAAATTAATTCTTTATTTTCTTCCAGCAATTGTAGAAGCTCTATGTGTTTGTTCAGCAGGGACAATAAGAATTCAAAAGAAAGAGGTTTAAAGTCTAAAGATAAATAAGCTCATGAGCAAAATAATAATTAATAATATGTTCATTTACGTGACACAAGTCAGCAGCTATACAGGGCAGGCTGGTTACCCCGCTTTGCATAGAGTTGCTCTTTTTTAACCATCAGCAATATTGATTGCTACAACAACAACATTTATTTAGCGCCCCTCATTCAGGGTAGCATCGCAGAGTGCTTGGAATGATGCTTAGGGTGCTAGAAAAATATACTATTTCATATTCCAATCCAACCGTCACTCCCTTTTCAAATTTTTTAACCTGCATTTTTGATGTACTTTCTTCACATTCCCGGGTTTCTCCCAGAGAAACCTTCCCCATTGAAAGGTGGACTGACTAGTGATCTCCACAGCTCAGGCCTCTGCCAATGTTAATCTCTAACCAGCTTCAATGAAGATCCTAAGTGCTTGTGGTATCTGAACTTCCAATTCTCTTTCCCTTTTTGCCTTGAAATGTCCTAGCCTCTGAACGGTACCTTCTTCAATGACATGAATGAGATCATAACTTGCTGTGAGGGTACCAAAAAAACTTGTTTCACTTTTCTAGTTTTCTGCTGTACAATAATAATTATAATAATTCTTCCATTTGATATAGGGCCTTATCACATCGTCGAGACATCTCCAAGCACTTCACAGAATATACTGTAAAGTGTAGTGACTGTATATTTTGTGGGCATAACGCGGCAACCTATCTTTTTGTCTGCTCTTTTGACTACCTTCCTCCTACCCCACTCAGCTCCCTTTCTCCATTCTCCTCCTCCCAGTTAGCTTTGTGAAGCGCTTTGAAACATTCTCCTGACGTGAAAGGTGATACATTAATGTAAATTGTTGAGGCTTGGTTGTTATTTTGCCCATAAAATACACAGTGAATTCACTTTACAGTGTATTCAGTGAAGTACTTTGAGATGTCTTGAAGACGTGATGAAGCACGATACCAAATGCAAGGAATATTATTATATCCTCCAGTGCTTTGTTCCAGAATGATCCTAGGCTTAAGAATTTAAATTACATCCATTCACTTGTCTGGCTTAGATTCATGGAATGGTACCTGGATCAAAGAAATTTCAAGCATGCAAGAGACAAATCAAAAGCAACTGTAAAGAAAGAAAACATGAAATAAAAATAGGAGTTAAAAGTTACCGTGCAAAAGCAGATTCAGATCTTAGCACTGTATGTATGTGAACAAATGTCATTTCTTCCATTTTTATATAAGCATATTCCTTTACTGCCTTGTGCTACAGATGTGCCCAGTTTGAGCACTCCTCGGTACATCCTGGGTCTGCAACAAGAAGCCCAGCACACTCTGAATGAGTTCATCGGCATGATGCACAATGGCGATCACGCAAGATTTGCACAGATCCTCCTGGCCCTCTCCACACTTAGAATGGTCAGCGTCACTTCTGTCACAGAACTCTTTTTCAGACCGGTCCTGGGCAAAGTGAACATGAACGAGTTGCTCTTCGAAATGCTTTATGCAAAATTAAATTAAGTGAATTGAAAAGCAGGAATGTTACCCTCTTATACTTGAATCCTCTTGATATTTTTGTGACTTGTGAACATTTTACAGCTGTTTATGTAGCGATCCAGTACTGCGTATTGTGCAATATGTATAATAACTATATATAGTAACTATTCTTTGTTCTATTTACACAGATACACTTATTAACAATGCTTATTTATGCTCTTCCTTGTTTAATAAACTTGTGTTTGAGATAGAACTGGGTTCTGTATGATTTCCTTCCATTTTGCCCCTTTTTGTAACCACCTTTAAATGAAAAAGGGCATTTTCTGGTCAGTCAGGTGTCTGACACGTGGAAATCCTTCACTATGCTTGAGTATCTAAACCAAATTGCTGAGAGTTCCACATATATGTCTAATTTTTAAATGAATGGAGTTTCCCAAGAGGGACACACCCAAACTTAACTAATCAGGTGCAGGTTGGCAAGCACTGAGGCTTGAGGTACTGAGAGTGTGCATTGAGGTACTCCTGGAGTTTAATCAGCTTAACCTGAGCAGCTTGCCATTGCAAACACTGGAAAGTTGCCAGCTGCTTGTCCATCCTACCCACCAGGGTCTTGAGCTCCAGAGGCTTCTGTAAAGTGAAGTGACTCTGTATTTGTAGGGGAACATAGCAGCTAATTTGAAACTGTTATTCCCCCTGCCCTGAATATTTATAATACAGAGGGGCTTTGATTTAAAAATCAGCAGTAACAGACTCTGCAATTATTTGGGTAAAATTGGCCAAAGGTACTGTTTGTGTAAATGGCAAGAATATCAAGTCGAACACACAGCACCTCAACATATCATAAAGAACATAAGCTGTCTCTGTGCTTTGGACAATCAGTTCAGTGGACATATGGATGTTTGATAAGTCTATTGTGCCACCCAGTGGCGAATACGTGTAACGCTATTGATAATAATAATAATAATAATCCTTGCATTTGATATAGCGCTTTTCACGTCGGGAGGACGTTCCAAAGCGCTTCACAGAACACACTGTAAAGTGAATCGACTGTATATACAGCAATGTCCCACAAACAGTCGTAGATTGAAAATGACCAATTTTTATTATTGTTTTGGGTTTTGGAGGGATTATTATTAGGCTCTGTGTGGAGTAAGGAAACTTGCCCAAGGTTTCGCCCTGACTTGCCTGGAATTGAACTCAGGTCTCTCGCTTGCAAAGCGAGTGCTCTAACCACTGAGCTACAGGGCTCCACAATGGATACAATGGATGAATGGATATCTTACTTTTTGGCACAAAGCAGAAAGCCAGCAAAAACTGAGTGAAGTTTACGCTTGAATTTCCAGGAAAATAAGAAATTTTAAAAAACTGTCTTGGTAAAATGTATATGCGCTGGACAAAATGTGCATTGGGATGTTCTCTTGACATGAAAGGCACTATACAACAACAACTACTTGCATTTATATGCAAGTATATAACTGGGATGACGGGTGTCGAGTGTAGTATGGGTAAGGATACGGGTGTAGAATTTTGAATTAATTGGATTTTATGAATGGTGGTGCTGAGGAGACCGGAAAAACTGGAAAAACTGAGGCGTGCTTGTGTCCCAAATGCAAGGATTATTATAAAATGTTATTTTTAAGTTAAATGCCACATTCCTAGAAATAATCCATAAACAGATAAAATCATACATTCTTTATAGTCTTTGAAATAAATTTTGCATTATAAATGCTTTCCTAGAAAATCTACAGCAGATAATGAGATTGTATTTCAACATTGTGAGGACGCAGGGAGGAAAATTGTGTTACAGCTTAGAATGACCGGGGAGAAAAGTTCAGTGAAACAATAATTGTTATCATTAAAACAGAGAAAGACAAGAATGGCTAAAATAGAGAAAGTGACATTGGAGGCCTGAGGTGGGAGCGAGAGTAACTATCAAATACCTATCAAATGCAAGAATGATTATATTATTATCAGATGTTGGCATATTTCTGTATTCTATTCAGGAACTAAAAGCAATAATTCCAAAGCATAGCCAGAGAAGGGAGAAGTATTCAAATACTCCCGGTCACTATAATATGTGAAGGTCACTATATAAATGTAAGCAGTTGTTCTATTCATGTTTTGGTTAACACTTGAGTTTTAAAGCGAGTTATTAATTGTTGAAGGAAAAGTAAGCCGGAAAAAGGAAAGAGCATCTTGGAGGCAGCTTTAATAATTGAGATGTAAAATGTCCATTTGAGACCACAGGAGACAATGAAGCCTGGAATATGTATAGACGAGGAAGGATTAAGAGTGAAACCATCAAGGGTAAGATGTGGTAGCTTCTAATTTGATTTGTGAGGCATGTGAAGAAACGGTGACATTGAAAAAAACAATTCTCACTAACCTCATTGCAAGGAAGGGAAAGGAAGGTTATGTGCATTGACTTCCTGACGTCTGATAGAAGTTTATTTATACACTGAACTATTTTGGTAAACCAGAGAATACTACCTACGTGTCTTTCTCCTATGAAGGAGAATTCATTAAAGATTAAAGTTACCGGTGATCTGTCTAAACTGAAATGCAAAAAACTGATCTTCACAATCTGGAGATGTAGGTTAGATATGTAACTAAGGTTATTAAGTAAGGCTGTTAAGGAATAAGGTAGGCAAAGAGACCAAAAGATTTGATGTTTTGAAATTGAATGATGGAACAGACTTGGACAGATTCTATTTTTCTTCCCATGTCCTGTCCTGCACTAGTACTAACTCCTTAGCCGATGCTCTGAATTACCAAGAGAGACCGTATAATTTAAAAAGACAATAAGTCAGTAAATGTGGGTGAGGTGTCACATTGCTTCACTGACTTATTGGATGTTACATTCTATGACTGTACACAGCTTGTAATCACCTCCCGCACTGAGAGCAGCCACTGCCACTGCCCTCACCTCCCGCACTGAGAGCAGTCACTGCCACTGCCCTCACCTCCCGCACTGAGAGCAGCCACTGCCCTGACCTCCCGCACTGAGAGCAGCCACTGCCCTCACCTCCCGCACTGAGAGCAGCCACTGCCCTCACCTCCCGCACTGAGAGGTCTCAGAGTGCTTCACAGGATTTTACTGCTAAGTGTAGTGACTGTGTATGTTGTAGGCGCTCGCGGCAGCCAATTTGCACACAGCAACCTCCGGCAGACAGCCATGAGGTGAGCGGCTGCGCGGTGGGGCAGCGCGTGGGGCCATTCCCTGGCACTGCCCACACCACTGGGTGGTGGTGACTATCATTGTGCTTCACTCTTCACCTTCACCTCTTCTGAAGGTGGAGGCAGGAAACTACAGATCCCGAGATGCCACGCGGTCACAGGGGCCACGACAGGGCGAGGAGGACTACAAATCCCGGCATGCAGCGGGCAAGCGGGACCTGGCCAACCACGCGGGGGCGGGGCGGGGCGGTAGTAGCCCAATCAGAGGCTGGCGTGCGGGAGGCGGGGCGGAGATGATCCAATCAGAGGCGGCCCCCGGCCGCAGTGGTGGGGAAGATGGCAACGCTGAGCAGACTCCTGGTCCGCGGCGGCGGCCTGAGGCGGGGGCTCGGGCCCGGGCCCTGGGGGGCGGCGGCGGCGGCGGCGGCGCCAGTGACCAACACCGCCACGCGGTCAGCGGCGCACTTCACCTTCGTGTCCGACCCCGTCCCCACTCAGTATGGTAAGAGCCCGAGAGACACAGAGCGGCCACTGCCCTCACCCCCCGCACAGAGCGGCCACTGTCACTGCCCTCACCACCCGCACAGAGCGGCCACTGTCACTGCCCTCACCCCCCGCACAGAGCGGCCACTGTCACTGCCCTCACCCCCCGCACAGAGCGGCCACTGTCACTGCCCTCACCCCCCGCACAGAGCGGCCACTGTCACTGCCCTCACCCCCCGCACAGAGCGGCCACTGTCCTCACCCCCCGCACAGAGCGGCCACTGTCACTGCCCTCACCCCCCGCACAGAGCGGCCACTGCCCTCACCTCCTACACTGAGAGCCACTGTCACTGTCCTCACCTCCTACACTGAGGGCAGTCACTGTCCTCACCTCCTACACTGAGAACAGTCACTGTCCTCACCTCCTACACTGAGAGCCACTGTCACTGCCCTCACCCCTCACACTGAGGGCAGTCACTGTCCTCACCTCCTACACTGAGAGCCACTGTCACTGTCCTCACCTCCTACACTGAGGGCAGTCACTGTCCTCACCTCCTACACTGAGGGCAGTCACTGTCCTCACCTCCTACACTGAGGGCAGTCACTGTCCTCACCTCCTACACTGAGGGCAGTCACTGTCCTCACCTCCTACACTGAGGGCAGTCACTGTCCTCACCCCCCACACTGAGGGCAGTCACTGTCCTCACCTCCTACACTGACAGCAGTCACTGTCCTCACCTCCTACACTGAGGGCAGTCACTGCCCTCACCCCCCACACTGAGGGCAGTCACTGTCCTCACCCCCCACACTGACAGCAGTCACTGTCCTCACCTCCTACACTGAGGGCAGTCACTGTCCTCACCTCCTACACTGAGAACAGTCACTGTCCTCACCCCCCACACTGAGGGCAGTCACTGTCCTCACCTCCTACACTGAGGGCAGTCACTGTCCTCACCTCCTACACTGAGGGCAGTCACTGTCCTCACCTCCTACACTGAGAACAGTCACTGTCCTCACCACCTACACTGAGAGTATCTTTTCACTTTCACTGCCCTCATCGCCCACACTGAGGGTAGCCTCACTGACACACCAGCCTCTCCTCATCACACTGAACAGCACTGAATGACTCTGGAGTCCCAATCACCGTACTGACACTGAATAACCCTGACTGTGAGGTCTTCATCACCACACTGATAGTGTGTTACTGAGTATAGGACCTCTTACACTGTTCTCACCGGCATAAGCTCCAGGTATTGCCTTCTTTGCTACACTGATTCACACTGCTTGATTTCCGGCTGTTGTATCAGCCTGGCTCAGTTGGTAGCGTGCTCATCTCTGAGTCAGAAGATTTTGGGTTCAATTCCTATCTTAGGACTTTGAACTCACCTACTCTAGGCTGATAGAGTAGTGGTGGGGCGCACCGTATTGTTGGAGGTGTTGTTCTTTAGATGAGATGTTAAACTACCGTCCTATTCAGTTGGATGTTAAAGATCCTATTGCATCATCCGAAAAGAGAATTGGGTTCTTCTTGATATTGTGGCCAATAATCCCCAGATAAAATAGGTTATGGTTGTTTGTGGGTCATTGTATTTGGCTGCTGTGCTCACTAACAACAAAACAGTCACTACACTTTGCAGTAAAATTCTGGGAAACAATTTGAAATGTCTCCTGATCTGAAAGGCAATGTATGAAATGGAAGTATTATAATAGTCTTCATCTCTGCACCAACACTGACTATGTTACCGCTTGCACTCCAGCTATAGTTTTGATCACCACACTGTCTAAGTATAGGGGTTCTCATGCTGTTCTCGCTTACATCAGCTCTAGGTATTGTTTTCATCACCACACTAACTGACTGACCTACACTAAAATACACTCCAGCTATTTTGTCTTTGTCCTCAAAGGCTGGAGCTTAACCAGCTAAATATTGCTTGGCTTGTCATTAGCTTGGCTTGGCAAACGTCCTACTTCTGGTCCAGCTCGGGTCACCCTACCCTTTAGGGTTTGGGCTTACAGAGTTAACAGGATCCAAGTAGTAATAATCCTTGCTCCCACAGTATCTGCTTCTCCAAGCCCTGTTGATGAGCCAGGCTGTCTGGTCTGTCATCAGCAGTGCCTTGCAGTAATGTGGATCTGCTTTACTCAGGAGTAGAACTATTGAGATTACGATAGAGGGTTGACTACATTGCTAAGCATGTCACCTTGGAACCAGTTCAGCCGCAAGGAGACCTCCCTTACTGATCTCCCTAGGAGGACAGTTACAGGTTGGTCATTTGATATCCAACAAGCAGATTTTAACCATCACTGGTTAGAAAGCCGTTATCAGGATCTCTGCTATCTATGAGCAGCACAGCTTAGCATGAAATGCGTGAGAGCATTTTCCACTATTGTCCTGTCCAAGCTCAGCATACATCCCAATGGTTCCACTGGTGGAAAATGTGAAGCCTGCGCAGTAGCTGCTTACCTTGCTACATACCAAGACCTGGATGTATAAATGTGTGTTCATGAACCTGGACTCCAGATAATGCCTTCCATCAGCTGCCATCCCAAGCTTCATTATTTCCTCATCAGCTATTCGATGGACATCTGCCTTCATTGTAGTGGGAAGGCTTTTACAAGTCAGCTTGTGACACGCCAGCTATCTTGATGCCATGTACCAAGCTTACTTTACACCAACATCTTAACACAGATCTTCATGTGAGGGGCTACTGCTGTGAATCTGATTACACCTCCAGAGTTCTCAGCAACACGTTAGTGTATGCTGCTGCCTTCTCTTCTCCCCTTTCCCTTTTATCACAAATCCACCTCACTGCTTGGTCCTGGATTATTCAAATGGGCTTGGAACCATGAAGAAGAGCTGTTTGCACACTTTTTTACGCCACAAGTTTAATATATATTTGGACTTTGCTGTCCTTGAAGAGAGATGAGAACAATCTAAGTGCTTTTGCTCTTACTCAGCCTGGTCCTGAAGGACAGTGTCCAAGCTAAAGTTAGTGTTCATTACAACCCTGGGATACCAATACAAACCAACAGTTGGGATTGATGTCCTTTGTATTTTCCAATAAATATTTTTAAGGTCCTCCAAGCCAAGCAGAGCCAGTAACATCGCACTCGGGGACACTAACCATCATGTCCCACTGGTTAGTCAGTGTTCGTGATGAGTACAGTGCACATTTAATAAAACTTGTAATATTTACAGGAGCCCCACTACATTGAATAATGAATATTGTAAAGCATTGAATAAAACTGCCTATTTCCTAATCACATGTGTAGTCAAATACCCTGATATTGTGAGTATTTTTAATTTTTTTATCCCATTAGATCTGTTTTGTTTAACAATGCAATAAAAAACACACAATTTAAATCTGTAATGAACAAATCAACACTATTGTTTACAATCTTCAATTGTAACAACTTTGTTTAAATTATTTACATAACAATGTAACTTAATTTGCATCTTTTATGTGAGAAGTAAAGGAAATGTGTCATTCTCATTGTAACAGTTTTTTTTGAGCAGTGCTTTTGTTGATTTCATGATTTGTTAGTTTTGTTAGTTTATTAAATAATGTGTGTATATTTTTAGAAAATGTGTGTTATGCAATGATATTTTTGGGAGTAGGTGAGCTGCTGCTGGTGTTTGATAATGACTGTGCTCCAGTTTGTTTGACTGTGCTATTCTCTTAAGGAGTGGGATAAGAAACCTGTTTTGAGACTGCATTTTGAGAGGCAGTCAGACTAGCATTACAGTGTATGTGGTGTTCCAGATTTTACTAGTCATCTTTTGTGCTAAATTCCTGAGAAATAAATCAATTCCTGAAATAAGCCAGAGCTTTTTTGTTTTCAGTGTTGTAGGAACTTCTGTTCCCACATTGTAAAGGCCTTTCTTTTTCTCGGGATACTGATGAAAGTGATCTGATTTTCAATTAGGTCCTGGGCACTTTTGTGGAACATCGCTGTGTCGTCATACAGTACTCACCGTGCTGGGTCTCTTTATACGGTTTTTAAGAAATTTTGTTTTAAATGGATGAAAATGTGTTTTTAAAACAAATTGCTTTTGGAACATGATATAATACTTCCATAAAATGTAATAAAATGTTTAGTCGACAAGACGTCATTAGCATTTTGGTTCTGTCTGAAAATAAGCTGTTGAGGAGGTTATTGCTGTGTGGGAAATGCTTTACATTTAAATTGTTACTTTAGTTTGGAATAGCTTGACTTTTTTTCTTATTAACTGATAGATGGTTCATTTAAAGCCACTTTATGTAATCACATTTTAGTTTTAGTTTCATCACATTGCTCAAAATGAAAACAAGACAAAATATGTTAATAGTGTACTAACATTCTACTTACAAAGAATACAGGTCATCATAGTTCAGGTGCAAAACTTTAGATGTTATTAATTTATATTCAAATGAGAAAATCTTACAAACAGAAACTGCTTAATTTTGTGAGTGCTTAGACTAGCTGGATCATAAAGCAGCTTCTAATGTATTAATATAATCCTGAAACCATTTTAAGAGGAATGCAAGAAAATAAATGTTTGATTCAATACTTTACTGAAGCTACCATATATTTTAAAATTTTTGTTTATAAATAGGATTTTAGATCTTTGTTCAGAACCTGCCCAAATGTATTTAACATCTTGTTTCTGTGAAAAAGTGATTACTGCAATTTTGAATGAATAAATATTTAACTGGAAAGCTTGTTTGTATTCTTTTGAAGGCCCAACACAGAAGATGAATCTTTTTCAATCCATAACAAGTGGCCTGGATAATGTTTTGGCAAAAGACCCAAGTGCAGGTATGTAAAATAAATAATTTTAAGTGCATTGGGAAGTCCTCCCAACATGAAAGATGTTGTATAAAAGTAAGTATGTTTTGTAATATCTGTGCAGAATAATCTACTGCTTGGTAAGGGAAAAAAATATGGATTGTTTAATTTTAAAAAATGCCATAATACAATCCTGCTACAGGTTGTAGATTGCATAATGTGCTATGAAACAATCTTGCACATTGTGTGAAGAATTGTGTCAGTCATTGAACTTTTAAATGTTTGTAAGATTTTTAAAAACTTTTCAGGGATAAGTTGTCATCCATGTAAGTAAAAAAAACATCCATCTCTAGTGAAATGTTGGCTTTTATTTCAAGAAAGTTGAAATACAAAAATAAGGAAGTGATGCATCAGTTGTACAGATCTCTGGTAGGACCTCACTTGCAGTAGTGTGTTCACGTTTGGTGCCATACCTCAGGATAGGATGTATTGGTCTTGGAGGATGTGCAGCACAGTTTCACCAAACGGATACTGGAGCTGAAGTATTAAGAAAGGTTTAGGCAAACTTGAATTATTAGGAGAGCTTGGGCTAAGGAGAGTTGAGGGGTTATATGTTTATACAATATGATGATAATCTTAAAATTAAAGATAATATAGAATATTTTTTTAAAAAAATCATACAAAAGTTGGTGGAAATGTGGGGTTCACTGCCCCAAAAGATTGTAGATGCTGGGTCGAAGCTGAAATATTTAAGCAGAAGATAGATGAATATTTCATAAGATAGGGCTATCAAGTGGCAGATCAGCTATGATCTAATGAAATAATAATTAAAATATCCTTGCATTTGATCTAACACCTTTACGACAGGAGGATATCTCAAAATGCTTCCAAGATTTACTGAAAAGACAATGTTTTTTTGTAGATGAAGGTGGCAGCCAATGTTCAAACAAACAACTTTGAAATGAATGACCAGTTTTTCTTGGTGGAATATTGGCCAGGACACTGGGAGAAACTTATTGTGATTATTAATAATATAATAATAGAAGTTTATTGTGATTAGGATTATTTTTTTCTTGAAACACAAATCAATGAGGAAAGTTTTGATTATTTTATTTTCTCCATCAAATCCAAAACTTCACGCCCACGTCCTCACCCACACCAAACTGTAAGGTCATCACCCCAGTTCTTGCTGGGCTGCAACGGCTCCCAACTGAGTGAATTTATGGTTTCCATCTTCATATATCCAGCACCTTGGGACGTCCTCCCGACGTGAAAGGCGCTCTATAAATGGAATCTTGTTGTTGTTGTACATAAATCCCTTCATGCCCTAGCATCTCCCTATCTCTGTGAACTTATCCTACCTCACTCTTCTGCTCACATTTCCAAGTTTGCAGATGATACTAAGCTAGGAAAAGCAGTAAACGGTGAGGAGGATGGTAGCAGACTGCAAGAGGACATAAACAGACTGGTAAAATGGGCAGACGTGGCAGATGAAGTTTAATTTGGAGAAATGCGAGGTGATGCATTTTGGGAGGAAGAATGAGGAAAGGCAATATAAGTTAGATGGTACAATCTTAAATTCAGTGAAGGAACAGAGAGACCCGGGGGTTCATATAAGTGACAGGACAGGTAGATAAAGCTTTGAAGGTGACAGGACAGGTAGATAAAGCTGTTAAAAAAGTAGATAATTATTTGGGGAGGACATGTTTCCAGGGCTATGGGGAGAGAGCAGGGAAGTGGGATTGATTTGGATAGTTCTTTTCAAACAGCCGACACAGACACGATGGGCCTAATGGCTTCCTTCTGTGCTTTATAATTCTATGATTCTATGATAACGCTATGATAATGTTCAGACTTGGTGAGGAAATTTTCTTAGATTATTTAAATATCAAGTAAAAATGTAATCAAATGTTACCCCCTCCCACCTCTGAGGGAAAGAAGTGTATAAATAAACTATGAACTGTCCTGAAAATGCTAATCAATTTAGAAATATAAACAAAATCAGTACAAAAAAAAATCCTTTCAAATTCTGACTTTGACTGGTGAAAGGCGTCGGGAGGACGTCCCAAGGCACTGGACACTGGACAGAGTACAGCATTTCAGACCCGAGCTGGGTTCAGAAGGGGGGAAGGGAGGGGAGGGGAAGGGGGATGGCCGATGGCATGGTCGAAGAGGAGGGTCTTGAGGCGGGACTTGAAGGAGGCTAAGGAGGGGGTGAAGCGGAGTGACTGAGGGATGGAATTCCAGAGGTTGGGGGAGGAGTGGCTGAAGGTTCTCCCGCCAATGGTGGAGCAGGTGGGTCGCGGGACGTGGAACAGGCCAGAGCCGGCTGAGCGGAGAGAACGGGCGGGTTGGTAGGGGGTTAGGAGGTCGCAGAGGTAGGGTGGGGTGAGGCCATGGAGGGCTTTGTATGTGAGGACCAGGATCTTGAACTGGATCCTCTGAAGGATAGGGAGCCAATGGAGTTGGGCGAGAGTGGGGAAGATGGGGTCACGGAGTTTGGTGTGGGAGAGGACACGGGCTGCAGAGTTCTGGATTATCTACAGTCTGTGGAGGGAGGAGTTGGGAAGGCCAATAAGCAGTGAGTTTGCATAGTCGAGCCTGGAGGTGATGAAGGCATGAACAAGAGTTTCAGCGGCCTGAGGGGTGAGGTAGTGGAGTCGGGTGATGTTACGGAGGTGAGGGAAGGCAGAGCGGGTCATGGCTTGGATGTGGGGGAGAAAAGACAGTTGAGGGTTGAACAAGACACCCAGGTTCCTGACTGGCGGTGAGTTGTAGTGTGGAAAACCAAAATGGTTGACTTCTGGGTCATTGGAATGCTGCAAACCTCACTGCAGGAACTGACGTCGTCAGGGACCATGTGACTTGGAAGTTTACTATTTTGGTGTTTTGAAGTGGCAATGGAGCCAAGCCCTAATTTTGGATATTTGGTTAAGTAAATGTCTGCAACCCAGTTGTGGTATATGAAGTGTGTTATAATTGGATTCTACTGTAATGATAATCTTTGTATCTTTGATGTAACACCCATAACTTTGCAGTGTTTCAAAGCACTTCATGGCAAATTGCTGTCAGATGCAGTGACTATGTTGGTTGATAGCTAATTTCTGCACAACATTGTCCCACATATAACTAAGAAGTGAATGACCAATTTACCTGGAGGTTTGTTGGCCTGGATACCAGGAGAAACTACTCTTTTCAAATAATAATAATCCTTGCATTTGATATGGCCCCGTATCACGTTGTTAAGACACCTCAAAGCGCTTCATACAATATATTCTAAAGTTTAATGACAGTATTTTGTGGGTGAAACGCGGCAACCAATTTGGATCTTTAATTCCCACTTGAACAGGTAGGTGGGACCTCAATTTATTGTCTTATCTGAAGGACGGCACCTCTGACAATCCAGCGCCACAGAGTATCAGTCAGTCTAGACTGTAGACAAAATGCCAAACCATAATCTCTGGCCCAGATACAGATATACTGGAATTTTCCTTTTATAAACACGTGGAACAAATTCTCCAGCTTCTTGGACACATTTCTTTTTGCAGCGAAGTAATGTCATATTCAGCTGCATGGTCAGCATTTATTCAAGAGTTTTTTTTTCACCAAATTCACACTAAAATTACAATAATAGAGGCTTTAGGGTACAAGCCATCTCAAACTGGAACATTAACTGGTGTAATTTAGGTTTGGTCAAAATTTCAGAGGCACTTTCAGGACCACTAAACTCCCTTTAAACTTTTCCATGTGATCTTACTGATCACACTCAACTCTTTAATACTGTTAAAACCTAAACTAAACTATGTTCGGTACCATTTAGTGGATAGGCTGATATATTACTTGGACGAGTATAAATGGAATAATTATTACCGTGAAATGTATTTCAGTAGTCTGCTGTTGGTTACTTGTCGGACAAATATGGAACCTATTATAATTTTTCTTAACAAATTGCAATTCAGTTATGGGTGGAGGGAAAGGAAACAACTGCTGTACTTGTGCAATGCAGTTTAGCTTCCATCACCTCCCTCCACTTTTGCCTGAATAGAAAAGTGCAGTGGTTGAGCTTTTCCTGACTTGCTTGTGGGTACACAAGCAGCAAAATTCAATCAGCATGAGTAAGTTGCAACATTTTAATGCAACTGCTGTGAACACTGAATACCTTTTGTACATTGTACAGTGCCACTGGGCGCTACTTTTTGAACTTCACTTTCTTTTAAACAAAATATTTTAAAACATTAAATATTAACACAGTAACATTTACTTGTTCTTATTTCGATTTGTTTTGGGTTTTGAGAGCAGAAGTGTTAAATGTGGGGATGTAGCATTGGAATTCCAAATGAGGTTTCTGATGAAAAGGCTGAACGCTTAAAATCATAGAAACCATAGAAATTTAATAAGCACATAAGTATTTTGATACAATATTCTGATGTGAAAAGCCCTATACCAAATGCAAGGATTCCTATTTATTATTATAGCAAACATTATAACACCAAGGAATCAGATTGTGAAGGACCTATGGTAAGGATACCTTAACAAATCTCACTTGATCACTGCTCCTGCTATTTTAAATGCTAATGTGTGAATGCTATTTTGCTCTTCTTGCTTAGCTATTAGACATTATGTGGAGCGAGTGTGTAACATGAATGTTTTTTNGACAGTGGTTTTTGGAGAGGATGTTGCCTTTGGTGGAGTTTTCCGGTGCACAGTAGGACTGAGAGACAAATATGGTAAGTTGTTCATTTTTGTTGCTCTTAATAGATGGGAGCGCACTGCTCGATATATGTAATAAATGTTTGATTAGGTCTTAAAAGCAGTAACCCATCATTGACTTCAGATGACATCTTTCATTTTGGGGGAGAAATCAAAGTGCTTTATCAACCCTATTTATACCACAGTCTTAGATATTTTATACAGTTGATACATCAAGTGTTAAGAGCATTATTAGAAGAAACTTGGATGAGTTGAGATGATGAAACATTTGTGGCCAACTGTTGAAAAGAAAATCTGCATTTTTTACGGATTCAAACTAGAGATTTTTAAAAACATATGCTACAAGGCTTTAAGCTTAAACTTTGATTTTGCAATTAGTGATGCCATTTGTGTAGTTTCTGTACAGTGTACAAGTATTATTAGGTTACATTTAGAATAATAATTTTGGCTATGAATCCATACCACCTTCAGAAAATGTTCAATCAATTTGCAACTTATGCAAAACCTTTCATGTAGATCATCTCAAAGCGTTTAACAATAGGAGCTGGTGGGTGGGAGGTGAAGGTGAGTTGGAGATTTTTGGAAAGGTGGAGAACACCAGTAGGCTCAGGCCACTGCCATTTGAATCTGTTTTCAAATAATCTGCATCCTAAACTGTTATAAGATTCCTACTTGAAATTCCAGTGCTCTGCTATTTAGTGCTTAAAATTCCAGTGCTCTGATCAGGCTGTCACTGTGCAAGAGTTTGTTGGCAAGATCCTATGGTGAATAACAAAGAAATTATTTCCTTTGAAAATGGTATTGCACAGAAGTGATTATTGTATCGGAATGTCTATTAAACATTTTGCTGGAACATTTTGCACTTGAGCGCTTTAATGCCACTGAGCCATGCACCTCCTGTGGACTATTTGCTCCTGAGTCAGCCAGCACAGCAGGAAACACATCAACTAACCAATGACGAACATTTGATTTTATTAGTCCATTGTTTCTGCTCAGCAGTTTCTGATGCTATTTTATTGATATTGAAGTCTAATTTGTGATATTTGCAAACTGGATTTGTGTTAATTGTGGAGTCCTGTAGCTCAGTGGTTAGAGCACTCGCTTTGCAAGCGAGAGACCTGAGTTCAATTCCAGGCAGGGCGAAACCTTGGGCAAGTTTCCTTACTCCACACAGAGCCTAATAATAATCCCTCCAAAAACCAAAAACAATATAATAAAATTGGTCATTTTCAATCTACGACTGTTTGTGGGACATTGGCTGCAGCGTTCGCCCTCAAATATACAGTCAATTCACTTTACAGTATATTCTGTGAAGCGCTTTGGGACGTCCTCCCGACGTGAAAAGCGCTATATCAAATGCAAGGATTATTATTATTATTAATTGCATCCCCTGGTTTGCGAATGGCAAATCCTGAATCCCACATCAGAAAAATTGTCGCTTGGTGAAATGTTCCTTTTAGGTTCACACATAAAGAATGGTTACTTGGCCATAATTCCAGATGGTGAACTGCACTTGTAGATTGTAATTTAGTGTAAGGCGGGACCTTGAGGAGTAGAAAAATAAATGTTTTACTAGACTTTTACCAAATATGTGTTGTATTATTTGCAGATGAATAGAATCAATTAATTATTTTTAAGTCAGGATGCAAAACCAGAATATGATTATAAAGGTACGAATATACAACATGTTAGCGCTACAAAAATGGTATTGAGTATGCTGGTATGTCCAGAATAAAAAAAGGCTTGAATGTATTATATTGTCGAGTGGACTTCATAGGATATACTGTAAAGTAACCGTGTATTTTGTAGCGAATGGGGCAGCCAATTTGCATTTAAGTAGGATCCCACAAACAGCCCAAAAAGAGAATGACTAATTTTATTTTGTGGGATTGTTGGCCAGGACACTTGGAGAAACTCCCTTCTTTCAAATTGTGTCATGGATTCTTTAATGTCCACCTGAACAGCCAGACTAGACCTTGATTGAACATCCCACCTGAGTTCAACATCACAGTTATTGTCTTTTGTTATAAAGCTTACTGACATAAAAGTAAGCTGAGTATCTTACTAGAGTGACGCATCGTTTTATACGTTGTTAAGGCTCACTTTTAGAGCAAAACCTAGTGCTACAAGTTCCAAGTCTTTGTTAGCGTCAGGTACTTTCCACAAAGGGAAGGGAGAGAAATCTGAAGGGTATGGTAACCTGGGCTATTCTTATGCACCACCTAACAGCCTGCAGCATTGCCAGGTCACATGTCTATTTTGGCTGGGGAAAAGTGGAAGGTAGAATTGATAGGAAAGGGGAAGGAAGCTAAAAGTAGAGCATCCCCCAGTGCCTTCGCCTTGCTTCCTCCCTTTCCTCCTTCAAGGTCGGTCTCAAAACCTTTCTCTTTGACCGTGCCTTCAGCTCCCCTCTCGACTCTCTACTCCCTCCTCGCTCCCTCCCTTCCCTCCCCCTGACCATTTCCCCCCTGCTCGGGTCCTGACCCAACTGTACAGCGCCTTGGGATGTCTTTCCGACGTGAAAGGCGCTCTATAAATGAAATCGTGTTGTTGTTGTTGATTGAGAAATAAAATAAACAGGTAATGATTAGCTCCAGTAGAACTGCAAAGACACAATTTATTTGTAAGTCACAGATTTGCCATTCACGGCCTTGCTCCCTCCTACCTCTCCAACCTACTATCCCCCTACCTACCTGCCCGTACCCTCCGTTCCTCTGGCTCCAGTCTGCTCCACATCCCCCGCCCCAACCGCCCTACCATCGGTGGTCGGGCCTTCAGCCTCTCAGCCCCGAGGCTCTGGAACTCTATCCCCCAGTGCCTTCGCCGCCTCCTCCCTTTCCTCCTTCAAGGCCGGTCTCAAGACCTTTCTCTTTGACCGTGCCTTCAGCTCCCCTCTCGACTCTCTACCCCCTCCTCACTCCCTCCCTTCCCTCCCCTCACCCTGACCATTTCCCCCTCCTCGCTCCCTCCCTTCCCTCCCCTCATCCTGACCATTTCCCCCCTGCTCGGGTCATGACCCAACTGTGCAGCGCCTTGGGACGTCCTCCTGACGTGAAAGGCGCTTTATAAATGGAATCTTGTTGTTGTTGTTGTTGTAGTGGGAAAATTAAAGAAAACATTACTTTAGAATTTTTAAATTGTTTCTTCTTGCAAACTTTATGTCCCTTCGAACATCCTTATTTTCACATCTTGTTCTGATTTGATACTGGGATATGGGCCAAGAAACCTTCCAAAATGATTTATAGGCCTTTACTCTAGTGTAGGTCATTACAGTACTGAAATACATGTTGTACCTTTATGAAAATAGTGATAATTTGAAAATGGTACTAAGATGCTGAAGTGTTAACTGTAAATACTGGATATTTTGCAATTTTATGTTTTTCAAGATCATGCACCATCTACAAAAATATTCACTGTATTTTTTAAAACTAATTTAATCAGTATTAGAAAAGGCAGCAATCACACTGAATGTCTTTTTCAAACTTGATTGATGGTGAGGTAAATTTGAAATATTTCAACAGGTGAGGGAATCAATAATCAAAGTCTCTTTATTGATTGATATATTGATATATTCAGCAATATTGTGCCGAAATAGTGGGGTAATCCTACCACTTTATAAATCACTGATGCGGTTTTGGTCACTGCAATATAAAAATAATATTTACAGCAATTAAGAGAATACAGTGGAGGGCAATCAAAATGATTGACGGGATGGAGGGACTGGATTATTGAAGGGGGGTGAATTCAGAACAAATCTGTGGAAACACTACTTCAGTGAGCGAGAAGTAAACTTATAGAACACGTTCCCTAGGGAGATGGTGGAAACAGAAAGTGCTGTTTGTTTCAAGAACAAATTAGCTGGATTGCTGCTAGAAAATAATATCTCGGGATACAGCATGTAGTTTTGGACACGGCATGTCAAGTGACTGCCAGGATGGTGGAAGGCGAACTAGAAGGACCTTGGTCTTCTTTCATCTCGCAAATTCTTAAGTTCTTATGCCGTGTCTTCAACAGTGGGAATGTGGGCAGTGATATTTTACTGCTATAAACACCCAGAACAATAAAGTTTCAAATAGTTTTAGAAATGTAAGTTTGGTTGTGATAATAGAGTTTGGCTTTATTTTACTGGGGAGTTCTAAACGGTTGAGTAAAGGATTTGTCACGCTATTCCCAGAGTAATTTTTCCCAGTCCAGGATAGGCAGCTGGCATGTATTGCTCAGCCAGTATTGTGGTTTGGAAATTGTTCTTTGAACTTAAATCTGGCTGACAATTGCTTTCTGAACCAAAAATGTGTATTAGACTGTGAGGAATCTGTTGCTTGTTGATAGCCCAGCACAATTTCTTCATAGACTATCAATATTTTAATATACATTATGTTCAAAAAGCTTGTGAGCTATTTGTCCTCTTACAGTTGCCTCCAGCAGCTAATATAGAAAACCATTAAATTCCGGAGATCATAATATTTCTTGTTTTGGGGCACTAGGCTGGGAAATAGAAAAGGCAGACAAATGTATTTGAGAGTTGTTGGAAGGTAGTTGGCCACATTACCAGAATTGATAACAAATGATCATCAGTACTCTATACAACCTCATAGTTCTGTTTCATTCAATTAACTAATCTAATAAAGACAAAATATCTGTCTGTGTGTCTGTCTAACCAATTGACCTAGAGATGTGACTTTATACCTCATCGGAAAGGTCTTACATTGGGAGTGTCATGGGGCATAATTTTTCCGGGATCTCCTGTTGTGACCTAAACAAGCTTGTCACACATGTATGGACTCCCAACAAGGAGTCCTCCCACTGCGAATCCTCCAATAGGAATCCTCCCACTGAATCCTCCCAACTGGAGTCCTCCCAAAAGGATATCTGTGCAAATATGTGAACAAGAGATACTAACGAGTTCAGTAGCACATTTTCTTAATCTTAAGGGGTAAAGATGCCTAAGAAGTGGAAATCAAGCCTTTCAAGGACAAATAAAAATGCCAGGTGAAAGAGAAAGGCTGATTAAATGAAA